GAAATTGCTGCGTTGAAGAATGCTCTTCCAGGGGAGGGGGACCCTAACGCAGCAGGGGTTGCCCAGAGCAGCGACAAGATGCTCTCCGTTCAGAAGAACAATGAGAACAGGAGCCTGAAGACCAATCGGCTCTTCCCGACACCGAACAAGCCAGACCCAATGCCGCAGAACTTGGCATTCCTCTTCACCAAGATCACGCCGGAGCGGGGTGAAGTACCTGATAATGGTTTTGGTTTGCTAGCTTCAGATGCGTCTGTAAGTTTGGCACACTTCGGCATGGTGCCGTTCGTGACCACCCCCCAAAAAAAGTCGATTTTTTACAGTTTAGGAGCAGATGATCTACATGAATCTTTGCCATATTTGGGCAACGTTTTGATTTTGTATGAGTACTTAAACCCAAGGAGGAATAGCAGCTCATATTTCAATACTATCCCAACCATGGACTAGGTGGAATGTCCTTACTGCAATTTTCTGCACTCAAGTGCTGATGGTGATCGGCTACTGTGCAGCCTTGGCTACCTTTCCGGACTACTGGTGGACCTGCACGCTTTGCTTCGGCCTCCCGTTCTCGTACATCGCCATCCAGAACATTTACATCGATCACGATGTGATGCACGGCGCCACTTTCCCGGTTTACGAGTGGCAGCGCTTTCTGACGCATCCATTTGCGGACTTTTTCAGCCTCCCGTGGGAGGAATTCGTGCTGGAGCACAACAGGCATCATGCCTCAACTGTGGACTTGCTGATCCAGGGCGAGTTCGGCTGGGACCCTGAGGAGTTCCATTACGCCCTCCAGCAGTGGGCCGGGCCATGGAGCTCCAACTGGTACAAGTACCTGCTCACCGTCCCGTTCATCCCGGTGATCCATTTCTTCGGTCTGAATGATACCGGCTCTCTGTTTGCCTTGGAGTAGTGGATGCACTTCCCCGACGAGGGTGCAGGTGGCAAGTGCAACAAGGAGCTTCCCGGCTCGATTAGGTTGGTGGGCGATCAAAGCTACAGGAAGGCAATGAAAAAGGCCAGACA